TGATAGTTATAAGCTTATATATTAAATTATAGTTAGGTCAAGTTGTCCTGGATATCAAGTAGATCTCTGATAAAGTACATGAGAAATGTGTTGGCGTTTCATTTTGACTATGTAATGGTGATGTGATGATGATGAATTTTACTACGTGAAAGTGTGATTTCCGGCCATCTAGAGGTACTATTTCCTCAAATTTTCTCGCCTCAGCCCCAACCATGGTGGGGCCAAAGCACTATCTCTTTATACACACAACTCCTCACCGCTTAAGTGTAAACCCCTATAGACGCTCTGGCGTTAGTGGAGTACTTAATACACAAACGATTAAACATTAGAAATACAAAACACATGCGCAGTTCATTATCCACGGTTTGTTTGTGTGCATGTTTGGTGTATTTATTCTATTTTCTATATGGTGGGGCTGAGGTGGTTGTGAAATCACGGTTTTGAAGTATGTAAAGAACATACTCAAAGACAATGTTTTTAAGCTTTGTTTTCTATGGTATATCACACACATTAATAAGATCTTTTTTGGTTGCAGAAAATCCCTGATAAAAAAGACCATGAGATTTTTTTTCTGGCGCTTCATTTGGATTACCGGTAACGGTGATGTGATGATAATGAATTTTACTAAAAGTTTTGTTTCTGGCCATCTTGAGGTACAATTTCCTCACATTTTCGCTCCTCAGCTCTAACTGGTAAGTCTGAGGAGGTGCCGACTCACAAAATGTCCTCCCCCTCAACCTTACAAAACAGATCTGCGCCCTTCTGGGTATGACATTAAACTGCATCAAGTCGGTACCTGACCCAGAGTATGTCTTGTGACTGCTGAGGAGAGGGAGCATAAATTAGTTTTAGAATGTAATCTGGTTTTTCATGCTCTTTTTTTCGTGAATATGACTATTTTAGATAAGAATTTTTTCTTTTGAGGAAAAGAAAGGAAAATATATTCAAATTTAAGTATGAAAGTGTAATTTCCGGCCATCTAGAGGTGCGCTAATCATAAATTTTCTTACCTATGGGGCTGAGGTGGGTGGTTCCTCAGTCTGTGAAAATCCCTCCATGGGTGGCGCCAGAGGGGGCTGGGGGGCTATAGCCCCCCCCCCCGTCGGGGAAGACCATACATTTTGTCGGGGAACAAATAAATAAAAAAAAATATTTACATGTAATATTCGTTTAGCCACCATATCGTTTGTGTTAACTTTTCATCACAACAACAACCACAATAATAATAATAATAATAATAATAATAATAATAATAATAATAATTCTATGAGACTAATTAAAAATAATTTGCGTTCTGTTATGACAAATGCTCATTTAGATAGCCTCATGATTGTTGGAATACATCGTGATAGGTGAAGCAACCTCGACCATGACAACGTGGTTGACAGATTTCAGCAAAATTTCCAAAATATAGAATTTCACTTTCAAGAATGAGGATTTGAAAATAAATTAAATAGTTACATTGCATACTCTTTGTTTCTTGCTTTATTCAAAATGTTTTAGTTTTGGAAGCTGATGTCAACATTAGAAAGCATAGCCTCATGAAGTCATATTATAGTAACTCGATGCCTATCAAATAGGCCTAAGTAATAAAAATTCGCCATAATTCATCAAATATCCGTGGCTTCCAGGGGAAGCCCTAAGCGGCCCCCCTGGCCCCCAGCCATGTGAGACTCGATTCGCTCCACTACCCCTCGATTCGCTCCACTAGCACCCCGTCGGGGCCTTTAGCCCCTCCGTCGGGCAGGTCCTGGTGCCACCCCTGCCCTGGGACACCTGTCTTTTGAATTCATGAATTCTGTTGATTTATTATAACTATTGCTGGGCCTACTAATATTATTTATGATGTGTCTAATACAATTTTCACTTTATCCTCTCAAAACAGTCTTTAAAAAGTTCAGAGTGCTCTACTTCACAATATATATATATATATACCTATACCTAGCCGGCGGAACCGGGGGGCCAGGGCCCCCCACTTTTTGGCAGAAAATATATGTCTATGGAGATTTTTGTATGATCGGCAAGAAATGCAAGAAAATAAAGAAGGAAAAAGGAGGAGAGGGAAGGAAAAGAGAGTTTTTATCTAGTCCCAAACCGAGTTAAATTATCTCGCAATTCACATTTGCAGATCTATGGGATATGGGGTCCTGATCCCTCCCATTGGCAAAAAAAAAATGAATAATAAAAACAATTCTAGACCCACCTTTTCAGGACCCGTGAGCAAATTTTTTGTTACAATAAGAAAATTAGAAGTCCGGAAAGCTTATTCCCGCCATCTTGGAATCAACATATTTTGGAGGGACGACGTCCGACCCCCTTTTATGTTTGAGGGTTCATCGATTCATGGAAAAAAGAAGACGTATGTAACGTATGTATACCGGTACACACATAATAAGCCTATTTACTGTAATAAGAATGAGAAAAATTTACTTGACCGTTTTCAGGGGGGAAAACCTTGAATTTTGAAGAACTTAAAAGTCATTAGAAGACACTTCAGAAGTCGAGAAAGCTCATTTCCTGCCATTTAGAAATCAATACTTTTCCCGGGGAGAATCCGAATCCCCTTTCTCTTTGGGGTGTATTGATTCATGGAATCGTTTTCAAGAGGGGAAACCTTGAATTCTGAAGAACTTAAAAGTCATAAAAAGACTCTAGGAATCAAAATTTTCCCGGGGGAGAGTCCACGGACCCCCCCCCCTTTCTTTTTGGGATTTATCGACTCATGGAAAAAAAGAATACCGGTACGTATGCAACTACCTTATTTTTTGTATGTATGTATACACAAAAAATAAGAATGAAAAAAATTTACCTGCCGTTTTCAGGAGGGGAAAACCTTGAATTTTGATGAACTTAAAAGTCTAAAAGGCATTTCAAAAGTTGGGAAAGCTCATTTTCCGCAATCTAGAAATCGAGATTTTTTTTTCCGGGAGTAATCCGGACCCCTTTCCCTTTGTGGTTCATAGATTCATGGAATCGTTTTCAATATGGGAAATCTTTGAATTTTGAAGAACTTGAAAGTCATTAAAAGACACCTCAGAATTCGGAAAAGCTCATATTCCCCCATTCAGGAATAAAAATTTTCCGTGGGGAGGACTGCGGACCCCCCCCCCTTTCTTTTTGGGATTTATCGATTCATGTCATAAGAATACGTATGCAATTACTCAATTTGTTAATGTATGCACACATAAGGCCTGTTTACTCTAATAAGAATGAGAAAATTTACCTAAACGTTTTCAAGAGGGCCAACCTTGAATTTTGAACAACTTGAGAGTCATTTAAAGACACTTTAGAAGTCTGGAAACTCATTTCCTGCCATTTAAAAATCTACATTTCCCGGGGAGATTCCGAACTCCCCATTTTTAATTGATGCATGGAATCGTTTTCATGAGGGGAAAACCTTTAATTTTGAAGAACTTGAAAGTCATAAAAAGACACTCAGAAGTCGGTAAAACTAATTTCCCGCCATCTAGGAATTAAAATTTTCCTGGGGGAGAACCCCCGAATCCCCTTTCTCTTTGGGGTTTATCGATTCATGGGAAAAAGAACACGTATGCATTTACTCATTTTTTTATGTATACACCTAACAGGTCTATTTACTGTAATAAATAGGTATACGATCAAACAACAAAAATTTGCTCTATGAACCACGCACACACAACAACTGGGGAAAAGTTCTTTTGCATCCGCACCACACTTATGGAATCTGTTACCGGATAACATTAAACAAAGTACTTCCCTCAGCATATATAAGAATCAGCTTAAGACGTTTTTGTTCACTTTATCCTTACGATAATTACACACTAAATAATATATATATTTTTTCAATATTGTACTTTTAGGCATAGATTTAGGCCACTCTTGTAAGGGTAGCGGTGTGGGACCCCTTTAAGGGGCAGCACATACATAGAAACGTGAGACGTTCCTTCCCTCCGTTAGTCTTAGGAGTTGCTAATTAGGAATATCTGCCTTAGGCAAGCAAAGGCACTCCTGAAGCCTCCCCCAACAAAGATACGGTTATTATTTTTTTCGTAGTTAAGATTACAAACTGTTAACAACTCTCTCGACTTCTATTTTGCGCCATGAGCATCATTGATGGATACTGGCGCATTATAAATGTTCACTATTATTATTATTATTATTATTATTATTATTATTATTATTATTATTATTATTATTATTATTATTATTACAAGAATGAGAAAGTTTTTAAGAGGTAGAAAACATTGAATTTTGAAGGTTTTAAAGACACCTAGCTCAAAGTTGGGAAAGATCATTTCCCGCCATCTAGGAATCAAAAATTTTCCAGGAGGAGAACCCCCGCACCCGCCTCCCCTTCCTTTTTGGGCTTTTGAGGAACAATTTTGGCCCCCACCCCCACAAAATTTGAACCCATTCATATTCCTATTCATCTTACTACTTTGAAAAACGTTCCGCCGGCCCTGATGGTTATGGTCATGATCAGTATTTATTTATATATGTATTTATATTTTTGCAGGATAACATATACAAGCGAGATGGTGACGTTGTTTTTCACTATGGCCCTGCACGACAACATCTAAGAAGTAAAGGAAGAAGATTATTAATATCATTCGTTAACAATACCCTTATCATTATTAGTATTAGCCCTTTCATTAATATTAAAATCATTATTACCATAATGTTATACAATACTATCATTGTGTCAAAGTGTTACATTCATCAAACTATCAGCAGGTATATTTATAAAGAGCGCCAGTATTATGCGTGATGATTGTTCGCAATTGAGTGAAACCTAAATAATTCACATGCTTGACAATGCACTAAACGAATTTTTACTGAAACAAAACTGTTGAACGTCAAGAAAAAATAATATGAAAACGTAATCAACATCATTAGTAATTGCATTACGTCATCATCTGTTGCTGGTAGTTTGTTGTGTTTTGCTAATCCGCTCACTTGATCGATTTCCCTACCACCAGCCAATCAGGCGAGCGTCCTCTCCAGGACAAATATTTCGCGACGTTAGTCGGACAATTGGGAACTTACAAGTATGGTGGACCGTGAGAAAACCTGTCAAAGGACATAATGGCTCTCTTTGTGACCTTAAAATCGGCAGGGGGTTTCCGAGGGAGAGGGGGAAAGGTCGGCAGGATCACATTTCGTGGTAAGTAATAACGTTTTTATTAATAGCTTCATACGCAGGAGGGGTACTGTATCTGGTCATAACGACGCTGTGCAACGTACCCAGACCCGATTCGATTTTACAGTTTTCCAGCTGTCCCAAAAATACATACCTACACGGTAGGAATCAATAAAAGTTTTTGTTATGATAATATAAATTCATATTGCGATTCATCAAAATAGATCATCTATATTACACATGCCATTATACTATTCCTAAACCGCTTAAATTTACGATTTAAGCTATATTATTTCGCCAAGATGTTCAGAATGTATTTTTAAATTTCTTCTGACTGCATCGATTACTTCTAGTGAATAAAATAAATCAATGATAGGCCTAACAGTTATTGTACTCTTTGGAATGCGTTACTTATCCATGAAGTGTATAATTTAGTGACTATAGAAATATATATACATTATATATTATTTACTATATATATATATATATATATATTATATTATATTTGTAGAATCAAATGTTGCTGCGTACCTTATGTACATGAATGCATATAACAGCCCTACAGTAGATTAAGTCAAAGCTTACATAGATAAAAAAAAATATATATATATATATATATATATATATATATATATATACATAAAACTTATTGTCAATAATTATCTGAAATAATACGATGCTTTGAGTGGCTTTTCATCAAAAAATTATGACGTCGAGAAAGACGCCACATAAATAATGACAACATTTAACTTGTACTATGTAATATAGGCATTATATATATATATAAATATATATATATATATATATATAGGCCCATATATATGTTAAATTATTGTACATAAATAAATAAATTAATATATAACATAAATTAATAAACATTTAAAAAAAATTGGAACAGTGTGCTGGAGCTGCTGCTTTCGTCTTTGGGTTGATTTGAAAGAAAAAAAAAACAAAAACAAACTTAATAAGATTCTTGTGTATTATTTTCAAATGCAACAGTGCTCCAATAAAGAACATGATGTTATGATCTTTTCAGGCATGGCCATTCAAAGAAAACTTGTTTAGTTTTACGGACATACAACCTCTCGCTCTCAGTCAAGACGAGTATCATATACCGTATATATTTTTTATTTTATTTTGTATTTATTTATTCAGGTATAAGACGGTAACAAGTACAAAAAGCAAACCTTTGTCTGACCTTTGTCTGAAAATATTACAATACAAAATTCAAGAAAG